CTGTAGCGCTAGTGCTGACTCAGACAAAGGAGAAAAGGCTAAAGCATATTAGAGGAAGAGAGAAACAAAAATATTTTTAGAATTGTAGGAGCGCTTGAAAAGAACAGTCTCAGATCTTTAAACTCAGCTTACGCTTTCCATAACCTGTGGGGGGAGAGTCCTGCGTATGAGAGCGTTACAGTTGAATTAGTATGCGCGGGGATTGCCAACCCCGCTCGCAGTGCCAATCGAAGATCAGGTGATTATTTGCAGTTTGCACTTCAAAGCACTACACCGAGAGCCAAACACGCGAGTGGTGAGCATCGAATGCCGGCATCCGATGGTCGCCAGTCACGTGTACACGTTTGTGGACACATGAAGTCACGTGTAGATACGCGAACATAAGACTTCAATAAATCGAGGTTTAAAGCAACATTTAACATGTTGCCACGGCAACTACAGACCATGGGAACACAAAACAATCAGGTGAACCATCAATATGGAGTAAACAAAGAATAAATTAGAAGCAATTGCGCATGTGGAATAAATAAATAGACAGCTCAGCGATAGAAACGAAGTAGGCAACATAGACGGATGGAAAAGAGTTGAATTCGCCAACATGGAATAGATGGCAGGACAGTGAAGGTACTACAGTGTAAAGCAAAACTTACATGGAAAACTCAAGAAGTGAATGCGGATATTCTACAAAATGAACTAACATTTCTGTGCCGATATATATGTCTTGTCACTGCAGACAGCCAAGGCTGATATGGCGCAGGCTGAAAACCAAGTTCAGCGTTCCGGGTTGTTTACGGCTTGGGGCCTGGCTGGCTTGGCTTCCAGTTCAGCGTTTAGGGCGTACTTTTGCTCCTTGAGTGACTGGGAAGCTGTGCGTACTGAGCTGCATGTACGGCTTTCACGGCTGGAACGGATCGATTGAATCAGGGTGCACAAATGAGAAGTGTACTAAGTGTACTGGTCGCCGCTTATTTTCGTGCGAAGAGCTCCATACTCCACGTTTTTGTCTATTTATTTCATCTTTGTTTCTTATGTCGGTATTAAAGGTGCAGTAGAAGCTCTCAGTTAAGAAGAGTTTGTACTGGGTAGCAAGGTAACAATGCACAAGCGCATTGAAAGCTGCAGGAGGCTTCCTACGGTGCACGGAAACGTGCACTGAAATATTTGTTCTGCATGCCTCAAGGAATACCGTTAACCGAGAGCGTGCAGTCAATATCATTCTTCTCATCTATGTTAAGCAGTGCTGCCATGTCCGTGATGGCACCCGCCTCAACAGGTAAAAGGTTGCCGCAGTACCCGATCTAGCCACACTCTTACTTAAGCAGGTTTGCGGCTTCTGGGCTAGCATACATGTGCAAAAGTAACTGAGCGTGAGGTGGATACCATCACAGAAGGGCCAGAGCAAACCAAAAACGACCTTGCGCGAGCACCAACGGCCTTTGTGCTCACCTAATATTCAAGCATTTACGTCCTGCACGTGAGAAAATGAAGTAAAAGTACTAGGAAGCCCATGTTCTCAAGTAAATAAAAAGCACCATTCTTAGGGTTGGCTGTACTGCTATTCTTTTGCTGTGGTCTGGCCGTACTCCGTTAAAGCCTTGTAGGTATTCTGTGTATCGGGCGCGTGGTCAAGGCGATGAGGCTACTCTCGATACTCTAGAAAAACAGTCCTGCCACCGAATTGTTTTGCTTTCCCTGATGACCTCCTTCTTTTTTGAATTTATTTTGCCCCGTTGACGCTTTTTGGCCTCCCGTTACGTGGAATTAGTGGAATCCGACGCTCCTGAGAAGACCCAGCACAGCGAGCCTTCTTTTCATACGGAGCTTGAACTCCACTACCACTGATGTCGCAGCACTTGATTTTCGAGTACTAAATTTTTCCTCAGGGATCCTCTATAAGGCGATCCTGGAACAGAATTCGGGATTCTGGGGAAGAAAGGAACCGCTTTTCAGCCCCGCGTGAGTTGGTCGACTAACATCGAGAGTTGACTGCACTCTGGCTAAATGGCTGTTGCAAACGGCCTTTCAGCATATACGGCGCCAGATTTCGAGCCTAGGGCTTACCTTGCTGCAGAAGCAGTTCAACAGCAAGATGGCGATCCGCAGACTAGCCCAAATTCAGAGATTTTCCGTTATACATCTCCCTTGCTGGGACCTGCTTTCATGACGACAGAATCTACCCATAGCCATAACTGGAAACCTCGCCCCTTCAGTGCTTGGGGGCTAAGTTCTATCGCTGCTTTGGTGTCTGCGTCAGCAGTTGTGGTGCTACTCCTTCTGTGCGCACGAGCTCAGGAGTGGGTATCAGCGGAGCCAGTCGCAGGTCGCATGCTTTCCGATAAGGGACACAAGAGAGAGTCTGTCATTAAATTTTGTGGGACTCCTCCTCGCCCTGAAGAGAAAGGGGCAGCATCCGGATCCGGGGAGCGCAGACCCTTATCTGGGGAACGCAGACGCTCACCGAACGAAAGCGCTGAGGACGCGCCTCCAGCGAAACGGGCAGCAACACAGTCAGCTGCTGACTCCCAAGCGACTACTTCGCAAGTACAAGGGCTTAGACCCACCACCTTTGTTGTCCTTGCTGTACCTCAACAACAACAAGCTTTGCATTTGAGAGGGAATGACCCATATGGGCGGCCAGGACCCTCAGGCCTTATATTGCACGTCCCAGCCCCCATGCAGCGAGTTGCATTACCTGCAGGGCCGCCTCTGCCAGAACGGAGAATTCTTGGAATTCGTAAAAGGCAGTCAGCAGCTTCTTTTCAAAGGTTTCTTTCCACTGCTGGCAAGCTGCTCACGAGGGAGCCTAGCGAGCTAAGCGCAGTTCAGGCGCTGCTGAGTCTGCGGCTCCATTCGTTTACTCCTGATATTGCGGGAGTGGCAGAGTCAAACGAATCGCAAGGGGGGGAAGGGGAACCATCAACATCCAATACAGCGTTAAACGAGGGAATCCTTGCACAGCTTCTTAACGACGGCTACATCAGGATACCACACAATGTTCAAGAGGAAGTTTTAGACGCCCATCCTTTTGTGCGCCTGCCAGGAAGAGAAGAGGGCCCAGTCACTAGACCGTTCATTATTCGGCCCTTCTTTGCTTATGAATTTGCTTCTCGATTTGCAGCAAGACTGCTTGAAGAAGCTCACCTCTACATGGGAAAGGCTAAGTTATCGTTGGTAGACTTAGAGCACTTGACACTCTTGGCGGAAAGGCTAGCATGCCATTTAATGCACTATCAAAAGGATCCTTTGTTGAATACCTCTCCGTATCACGCCCTCAGGAAACTTGGGATGCGTTTTTTGCTTTTGGATGCGTTTGTGTGTACATTACAGGTACTTGGGTATGACACTAGACAACCGTGGTTCCTTAACTTTGTGAAAAACGTGCCGCATGAATGTACATTTGTCCATGCACGTTATATTTCAACGAAGCAGGCGCGTTTCAACCAGCTACTCGTCCAGAGATTGGCTTATGCAGTCGGCACTTTAAAGCATGGGTTGCGCCCGTGTAGCCGAGACATCATCGAGCTAAAACTCAATCTCATGTGCAATCCTCTATCTCTTCAAGCTTTCCAGTGCCGTATTTTCCAACCCTGGAGAAGTGATTGTCGGTTAGCGCATGCGAGTCTTTTTGATAGCTCTTGAAAGCAGCAGAGGCAAATCCATTCACATGATATGCTACTTAATGTCTCCATTCGGTAAAAATTGGATGGTTTGATGCAACTGCAATCTGTGTTTTTGAAGGCGAGAAGCCTCATAGAACATCTGAGCGCACTTGGTGGCACGATGGAAGAAATGCAGGGAAAGCGATCGGCGATCCTCAGCATGTTGCGTCACAATGAAGCAAATGCTCGCGCCACCAGGCAGTAGGACGGGTAGATGGCATTCTGGCTTTACGCCGAAGGCGTTATCTTTTTGAGGAACGCTAACATGTGAAACCATGGATTTCACCGAGTCTTTCTCAGTTGATTCATTAGATGTATCCCCTCTTGACGCATTGCTGGCTTGTTTAGTTGCAGAAAAGCATGGTCAGAATATTTCCAGCCCAGTATCTAAGTCAAGCACGATGCAAATGCGACAGAGGTGAAAGCACTGGGGTGCCCCAACAGGGCTTCAAGATCATATACCGCTAAAGGCACGATTCTGATGCATTGAGAGGAGAAGATTAGTTTGCGTGAAGTATTCCCACTTCATAATGCCGGTATCCGGAGCTGGTTATGGCTTTCAAAGCATGTTGCACGGTTTTTCGTGTGCCCATCTACCACTATAAATTTTTGAAATGGAAGGTCGTACAAGATCACATATCTGCTGGTGCTCAATAAGTACGATAGCTCAATGAACTAGGCAATAAAGCGACATTTCCCCTAGTGGGAAGTGGCAGAGGTGCGCGCTGCTGAAGAGGACAAACAAGCAAAGCAGCAAGTTGTTATAGTGAGAAGTAAAGGTTTCGACGCAAGCTGTCCGAGCAGCTTTCTGCGTGCTCTACTATTGTAACTGGCGTGCCTGTCGCTTCTTACCACCAGGTGACTCACCAAGGTGACAAGGACAGGAGATGCCCGATTAGTCGCGGATCTACGAAAAGTGAAGGGGAGCCTTCAAAAGGAAAAGAACAGAAATAATTGCTATACGGATGCATGATTTACTAATGCAAGTTCTTTTTACAGTGGCTGAGGTACTTGCGCTCGGGCACGAGAGCGAGTGACTCTCGCTTTCTCTGGTGAGCATCTGCTTCGTAGAGCTCGATTAGCGCGCTTGCAATGTCCCTCACTTCAAATTTGTCATCATCTTACACTGCATATATCTTTTGCAGTTTTATTTCATGGAAAAGACAAGAGACGTGTAGTATTTCCATATTCATTCGAGGGTCACATCCGCCAGCCTTATCGAGGAGCTCACGTGATCGCAGACGAGGTTCTTCCTGAATACTTTGCATAGCTTTTACCCGTCTCTACATTTGAGTTAACCTTTTTACCTAATTTGTACTATTTCAACTCGTAGTAATCGCCATGGAACCCATCAACAGCAGGCAGTCTCTCGACAGTGACAGCGCCATCTTGTGCGCGCTAGCCACGGCGTCATCTCGTCGTGAAGGCGACATCGAAAAGGCGGTGTTTTCTATTAGGAGGAACAAGAAGGATGTTTTTATTCCAAAGTATGATTCCTTTCGTGGGCAGGGTTGGGATGACCTGTTCGGCGACAATGACGCAGATATGAAAAGGAACGGTTGCAGGAACGGTTGCGGCAACCACCGGAGGAGCAAACTCGAGAGTTTTTCGCAGTCTCTGGAAAGCCTGAAGTACATCTCATCTCCTCCAGCAGCATTCTTTCAAAGCCATCTTGCCAGGGAGCTCCCGTCAATTCTGGACGCTATTGGCTGCACTCCACTTGTCTGCCTGTCACGCGTGGGCACTGCCGCAGGTGTCTCCTGCCAGTTGTTAGGTAAATGCGAATTTCTAAGTGCAGGGGGAAGCATGAAGGACAGAATCGCAAGGGGTATGATCGTGACAGCTGAGGCTTCTGGCCGGCTCGCGCCTGGCGCGGCACTCATAGAGCCAACGAGCGGCAACACGGGGATTGGCATAGCGCTTGTAGCTGCCGTCAAAGGTTACCGATCTGTAGCCGTGATGCCAAAGAAAATGTCCGCTGAGAAACAAAGTATTATGAGGGCTCTAGGTTCGATGATTTTGCGCACCCCAACAAAGGCAGCATGGGACGACCAGACGTCTCATATTGCCCTGTCTATCAGGCTGAAAGAAGAAATGGAAGATCAGAGGAAGGAAAAAAAAGAGGACTCTCATGACTGCTACGAAACACCGAAGAAAGAGGCTTCAGATGAACCGCAAATCGCGTTCATTCTTGATCAGTACCGCAATCCCGCTAACCCGATTTCCCATTTCTTTGGCACAGGACCTGAGTTGTTACACCAGTGCGGAATGCAGCTAGACATGGTAGTGATTTGCACTGGGACAGGGGGGAGTCTCACTGGTATTGGAAGAAGAGTAAAATTGGCCCTCCCCAATTGCTTGGTTGTAGCAGTTGACCCTGAGGGGTCAATTTTGGCAAATCCTAACGAGCAGCCAGGAAAGCCATATTTGGTGGAAGGGATAGGGTACGACTTTGTACCAACTGTTTTAGACAGAGATGTGGCGGATTTCTGGGTGAAAGTAAATGATGCAGAGAGCCTTCTCTGCTCACGGCTTTTGATTAGATTGGAGGGAATGCTCGTTGGAGGCTCTTCTGGTGCTGCATTGGCGGGAGCGCTGAAAGCTATTGAACGCATGGGATGGAAGGACGACAGCTCAAAACGAATAGCGATGGTGCTGCCGGATGGGAGTCGTAACTACACATCCAAATTTGTTTGTGATGAATGGATGGTTGAAAAGGGTAAGGCTTGGTCGATTAGCACTTGGGTCAGATAAATTTGTCGCGAACTGGCATATGGAAAGTAAAGGAAGGAAATTGGCACCGAGGATAAAGCGCAGTTTAGGCACGTGCGTTAGGAAGATTTGCTACACACCTGTGAACGTGATGTGGAATAACACTCATTTGCATGACCGCTGTGCCATCTGTTCACAGGCTTCCTGGAACGTAGTGAACTCAGCCGACAGTACGAGCAATACAGCAATATAAGCGTACAGTCCCTTCAACTGCCAAGATTGACTTTTGTGTCGTCCGATTCATCCCTGAAGGAGGCAGCTGCTCTTCTTGTTCAATCTCCGCAACCCATTCTAGCTGTTGTCGAGCCGGGCGTTGCAGAGGACGCAACTAAGAATGGGACGGCTCCACGCCAGATGGTGGCTGGGAGTGTTACGCAGAAAGCCCTTTTAATGGCTTTGGGTGAAATGCCAAGCAGTGCACCCATTGGGGAAATTGCAGACACTGAAACACCTGTATACAATATAGGCACTCCGCTGTCGCTTCTGGCACAGAGCCTGGAGCTACACCCATTCCTCTTCATTGAGTCAGATGGCATCATTCATGCAGCTGTGGAGTCGAGCCAGCTGTTACAGGCTTTTGTTGCACAGAAGGAAAGTGGAGAGCATTAACGGGAGACCGCGTTGACACTGCAGCAGGGGGAATGTTCGCTTCCTTGAAGATGGGCATCCTTCACAGGGTCTCACAGATTGTAATGTTGGCACTGCGTCTCACCTGCAAAGCAGAGTGCTGCAGAGCATTGTGGGGCCATGTGAGCTGCGGCATTTGCGACAGCGTAGCGTTGGCATGGCATTCAGTAGCGCATCGACCGGCCTCGAAGGCCAATTGCTGGCCCCAATGGCTAATTTCGTCGTGGGAAATGTGCACGCAACACGATGGCGCTTCTGTATTTCATTCTATTATTTCACGCCTTTATGCGGAGGCATTTAGTAGACTGCTATACATTGTTTAATAAGTTCCCTTTGGTAAACTCGCTTCCAGGCCCATGAAGCAATTCTTTTGTAATTCAGTGTTACCTTCGTAGTTATGGATGGGGCTAGCACAAGAATGCACGCTTACACTTTTCGTCTCATTCTTTCACGGACTTCACTGAACAATTAGATATTCGGTCCTTGGTCAAATAGCGACCACAACGCTTGATGAACTTCAATTAGGACCATTTAGGAAACTTGTGAGTTAGGGAGGCACATCAGTAGGTGACCCTTTGCAACGTTCGCAAGGTCACAGCCATCTGTTTGGAGGAGCCACTTAAAGACTGCAATGCTGCCACACCAGTCCTAACCCGTGGAGCAACAGTCAAGTACGTAGCATTGGTAAGAAGCCACGCACTTTGAAAGACGGACTCAGCTGCACAACGAACATTGCAGGAATTAGTGACATCGGCTAAGCGGAGCGGTGCTATAGTAAATAATTTTGAGTCAGCAGTAACCGGCAAAAGCCTAACAGCACCACGGTCATGTGCTTGAAAGAATTGCTGAATCAATTCAGAATTCAGGAACCAAAATGAGAGCAGAACGAGAGAAAAGTGTGGGTGAATGTGCAACTGTTCAGTGACTTTCCAGTAGGACGAATGTAGAGAGATAAGGAAATTCCAAGCCTAACGTGAACTCCTGAGACGGTGGTCGCTGCTGAGACGATGATCATGCGGTATGCACTCCCTACACTTTCAATTCACCCGTAAGGCACATCAGATTTTCTATCTGACCACTGATACAACCAACAAAACCGAAACTAGATACGGTAGCGACGAAGTGAATTTGGAGTAGAGAGTCTGGGAAGTAACAGAGAGTTACAGTATGATGCGCATCTGCAGAGGCCAGGAATGCGGCACAGCGCAGCGAACTGCCCTCGTGTGTAATAACTCGTGGGATCAGAAGGTTTCTCTTGGTATATTGTCTGCAAACATCGCCATGAAGGCCGTTCTTGCTCACAGCGCCCCCGGGTGACTACGGGACAATCTGGGGTAAATTATAATAACGCGAGCCCTTCATCGTGACGGCAGCCCACTGGTGCTCGGTCCATCAACTTAATTTGGCCGATGTAGTTGCAATCTCCGGAGTATATGGAGCTGAAGCACCAAAGCCTCATGAGGTCATGACGTTATCGACCCAAAACACATTGTGCCCCTTTACATCGCAACATCTGTAGCGCTGCCGCTACGCCATTAAAGCTTTATTAATAAGAAGACTGACCAGATGTGTTCAAAGCCTAGAGCTAGTAATTTTCTTCATGTCCGCTGCCGTTCTGACTACTCTTGTTGCGCTCCCCATCATCACGGATTCGCAATCCTGACACTGCAGGACAGAAGGCTAGTGACAATCTAAACAGTTACACGCTAAGTGCAATTCTTTGGGTGCCCCTAAGTTTGACATCAAGGATGAAAAATAATTTTCCATGAAAAACAATGCCTAGGCGGAACGCTGCGAGACCCCTCCCCTAGAAGCCACATTGCATCATGTATGCGTGCCTCTACAGCCTACATAGCGAATGGCGCATTGCATCGTGTATCGATTCCTCTACAATTTATATGACGAATCGCCAGCTCCCAGCTGTATGGCAGTGCTCTTCGGCAATTCACACACATAGCACATGTTCCTGCGGAGAAACTGGATATCGCGCGACATTCAGAAGACGCCACAGGTGTAGACCTTCTCTGCCTAAGCTGTAGTAACGTCCAAGACCGCCTCTACTATATACTTCACTTCTCAATAGGTTCCTCCCACCACTCCTGCGACGAAAGAAACCGGTGATGTAGGACAAAGTCTAAGCACACAAGCAACCTATGAGTCATTGGCTGGTGCGGATCCCTTCTAGACAGTTTTTAATATGTTATTAATGAGACTAAAACTCTTTTCTCTCTTCAAAGCCTTGTGAAACTTCACAAAATCCCTAGGCGTTAACATTGCGCCACAGCGATCCGTCGAGTCAATCGCCGCCGCTGCTGCTGGTTGCTGCGCAGCTACCATTGGGGCAGCAACTCCGCTACACTTGCGCGAATTCGTTAAATTTAATGTTATCATCCAGTAGAAGTATCTGTTTATTCCTGTCCTTTTCAGGCTGCTGCTGCACCGGAAGCTGCTGCTGCTGGTTCACGCGGCCTCATCCTCGGCCGCAGTCGTCCAGAAGCGGCGATCCGGTGATTTCTATGCCGCAGCAGCAAGCCCCGCAGCAGCAATAACGCCATTATCTTTTGAGGGTAGCTTCTGCAGCTCTGCTGAGGAAATTTATTTTCATTTTATGGCGCTGTGGGTACGGCAGCCCAAATCCATCCGCCTTTCAAAATTATGTTTGCAGCTGCACCGCTGCTGCAGCTGTACCATTAGAGGTGTTCCCTCCCTCTTTGCATCTGAAGCCACTCCAGCGGACCTGTAGCACAGACACACACACAGAGGAAAGTTAGAGGCTACACCCCCCTCTGAAGCCTCATGGGGTCAGCGGCTTCATCACAGGGCACAGGGGCCAATAACAGCGGCCCGCAGCAGCAGCAGCAACACCCTAAACCACACGGGCAGCGACAGCAACAAGGACGCCAGCAGCTGCAGGGACTGGAGCAGAGGCAGCAGCAAGAGCTGCCTGCGGGCGGCTCCTTCCTGCGGCACCACGAGGCGGCGGCCGAAGAAGTTGACTCACCTGCCGTTTTCGCGAATTCACCTGCATCTACAGCACGAGCCATGGAGCCTTTAGATGAAGAGCGGTCTTCTCCATCAGCAGCAGACACTACAGCAGCGGCTGCTGGCGCTGCTGCAGGCAGCGCAGCTGTAGGCGGCGCTCCCTCAGTGGCTGCACTACTCGCTGAGGGATTCATACAGCCTGGAGAGTCCTTCGAGAGTCTGAAGGACAGTTTCCTGCTCCTAGATTTGGAGGATGACATGGGTGAGATTCACCTTAGGAGGGCCGCTGCAGCGGCATTGCACTCCAGGCTTTCTTCTGCTGCTTTTGCTGCTTCAGCAGCTGTCAATTGGAGCCGGCTGCAGCAGCAGTAGCTGCTAGTGCTGCTGGCGCTGCTGCTGCAGTGCCTGCTGTTGTAGCCACTACCACTAGCTGCTTAAGCTTTCCGTTGCTGCGCGTTTTGGTGGTGTTGTTCCAGCTGCAGCAGCGGCACAGGCAGTGCAGCAAACAGTTGCTGCTGCGGCCGGCAGCAGCAACGGAAGCAGCAGCTGCACACACAACAGCGTCCAGACGGCGAGCACAGAGTCCCGTGGGTTTGCAGAAGCAGCTTGCGCCCGCTTGTGCGCCGCGCGGCAGCAGCAGCAGCAGCTGCAGCAGCTGCTCGACGCTGCGCCGGAGACGCTGCTGCAGTTGCTGCGAACGAAGAAGGACTGGGAGCGGCTGGCAGGTAGCTTTGGTTGCTTCTTGCTGCTGCTTAAGGAGGGAAGGCTTGGCGCGGGCCTTGGCTAGATTGAAGTGCTGCTGCTGGAATTTGCTGCTGCTGCTGCTTCTGTTGGTCTTGGGCTGCCTGCAGGTGTCTTTTTCGACAACTTCTACGGACTTTCAAGAGCCTTTTGGGCCCCTCAGCAGCGCAGCACGGACTCCCAGCTGAGGGCTGCCCTGCCCAACGGCGGCAGCAACAGCAGCAACCGTGGGGCGAGCAGCAGCAGCAGCAACATCCTGAATGGCTGCAACGGCATAAGCAGCAGGAACGACGGCAGCAACAGTGGCTCCGAGGGGGAATCGGCCTCCTTTCCAGTTGACCTCGAGGCAGTGCGGAGATTTTACTCTGGCGTTCTAGCAGCTGCGAGGGCTACAATTGCTTCCGCATCTGACGGTGCTTTTTGCTGTTTTACGCGTGCTGTTTGCTGCTGCTGCTGCTGCTGTTGCTGCTGGCTGTTGTACGTTGCTGCTCTTGGGTGTTCTTGCTTAGAAGCCAGGCGAGCTGGTGCTGAGCCAGCCATGCTGCCTTCGTTTCCGCTGTTTTCTCCGGCATCCTGGCAATCGAGCGCATGCATGCACTGCTGCTGCAGCTGCGGGCGTTGGTGCTGCTGTAGGAAACTGGGACCCAATAGAACTAATGCTAGAAAGGATCAACAGCCTCTGCTGCGTCCTTCTGCGAAGGGCCAGCTCGCTGCGGCATCCTCAGCAACTGGCCTTTATCCCTATCCTCTTAGGTATGCACAGTGCAAGGCTTCTGGGCGGAGTGGCAACTGCAGTTTCTGTTTGTGTTTGTTACGGTGTGCAAGTGTTTGTGCCTCTTGGAGTGCGAGATTGAGATGGGCAGTGGAGGCTCTTTGTTGGTTTTTCTTTTCTGTAGTTGGGGTACCTTGCTGTTGGAATTCCTTCCCTAGTCTCACTTTTGTGGAGGGTGTGTGCATGCCTCTTGGCTGTTGCAGAATGCCCTTTCCTAGAAGAGTCTGTAGACTTCTCGGAACTCGCAAAGCTCTGTGAGGTCGTTGCCTCTCTGCCGCATTCCTCGCGCCGCACAATCGCTCAGTGGTGCGTTGCAGCAAGCGCTGTTGGTGCATTTGCTGCTGCATCTGCTAGTGGCGCTGTCAGATGTAGTGGCTAGCTTCTTTTCCTCTAGTGGTTCTATGCAGCTAGCTAGCTTTCTAGAGAGCTAGCTGGGTGTTCATCCCTGGGTATCTGCTGCTGCCAGTCTCCACGCCTGCCAGAGCTGCCACTGTATTGTTGCTGCTCCAGTGTGTTTTCTTTAGGTATGTCGAGGTCCCGGCATCTCACGTGGAGCAGCACATAACAGTAGTTCAGCAGCTCATCACAGGTGAGGCTGTCTTCACTGTGCGCTTTTTTGTGTGGATGGCCATCAGTGCTTTTGGTCTTCGCACTGCTGCTGCTGCTGCTGGTGCTGCTGTGGAGAGCGTTGCTGAGTGTCTTGGTCGCGCATTTGCTGCCAGCTGTAGTGGCTGTGTAGACCTCTTGCTGCTTGTTTCCTTCGATGGTGATGCTATTGGCGGGGTGCTGCCGCTGCGCCTGTGGCTGTTGCAGTCCGCATGCTTTCTGCTGGGCCTTTGGAGTCGTGGCACTATCTCCAGGCAGCGCAACACCCAGCGGAAACGGCGCTTCGTTCCGCGCTGCAGCTGTTGCACTTGTTGTATGTTGCAAACGTCAACAGGCATTTGCGCCGTCTGCAGCTGAGGCACTGGAAAGAGCAGAACCTGCAGCTGCTGGATAGATCAGCTTTAGTGTTTAACGAGCTACCTGCAGACGCGGCCGCAGCTGCAGCTGCAGGCGGGACAGCGGCAGCCTCGGAAATGCTGGAACAGCAGCAGCTGCTGAAACAGCAGCAGGAGGCAAGGGAGGTCGACTTCACACTGTTCCACAATGATGCCATTAACTCCAACAGCCAACTGCTGCAGCACGAATTTGCGCTTTGGCTGCGCTTACGTCGCGGCATAGCGCCACGGCTGCTGCAGCAAGCGCTGCAGCAGCGGCAGCAAGGGCCTATTACCCAAGGCAGGCGGCGGGGACAGCAGCAGCAGGACCAGAACGCGCCACAGAGAGACGCAGCACCTGCAGCAGAACCTTCAGGGTCCTCTGGGGCTGCTTCAGCAGCTCCCACAGCAGCGGGAGGACCACCAGCTGAAACAAACGCTGGCGCAGCAACGCCACGGAGTTCCAATGCCGCCACAGCTGCAGCAGCAGGAGTGGCTGCAGAGGTGGCGCCAAGAAGTGAGAGAGCCTGGGGATCAGCCGTGCGCTCCATGTCAGTAGATTCCTTGTTTTCCGTAGAAGCTGAGGCAATGGCAGCACTGCGGCCGCCGTCGGATGACGCAGCAGCTGGCGGTCCTGCTGAAGGTCCCGGCGGGGATGCAGTCGTTGTAGATACAGCTGAAGACTCATTTAGTAGTAATTTGTTGCGGACAGTTGCTGCAGCAGCAGCAGCCGAAGGCTTCGCCCCAGTGCCCTCTCCTTTCGCCTTGTCGGAGCATTCGACTGCGGCAGCAGCTCTCGCTGCAGGCGTTGCCTCTCCCGTTGCAGCCTTCTCAAGCCCAGCAGCAGCTGCAGCAGCGTCGGCAGCCAATGCCCCATTCTCGCATTTCTCTATTCCAGAAAGAAGCATGACGAACCAGGCGTTCTCACTGCTCGCGCACCCGTTCGTACTGGACGCCTCAGTTAAGGCAGACATTCTTCGGAGGCAGGCAGCAATAGAGCAGCAGTATCAGGTGGGTGCTGCTGTGTCTTTTTTCTGAGTTTGCCGCTGCTGCTGCAGCCACGGCCTACGCTGTAGCTGAGGGCCTGCCATGGAGGGGCGAGCTGCCGCTGATGCTGAACTAGCTGGCTGCGCTGCTTGCGCCCTGCTCCGACAGAAGTTGTGGGATGCGTCAGCACAGAGAGTGGGAGAGCTTTGTTTGCGGTTGAGGGGCCTTTTGCTGCATGTTTTTGCTGCTGCTGTTGCGTAGGCACGGCAGGCTGAGATGGACGCCGTGTTGGCGCTGTGCACCGGCGGCGCTGGGTACCCACTGCCCTTTTTGTACTTGCGGGTGCGTCGGTCTCACTTGGTGCAAGATACGCTGCAGCAGATTGCATGCAACAGCAGCCGGGACAGCCATATCAACAACACCAACCTCCGTAAGGCTCTGAAGATCAAATTCATCGGGGAAGAAGGCGTAGACCAAGGTGGCGTCACCAAGGAGTTCTTCCAGCTTCTTGTCGATGAGGTGGGCAGCAGCAGCTAAGTGGTTCAAGAGCTTAAAGCACTAAAAACGTACAAATTCGCCTCTTTCTTGCTAGCCATTTCGTGTTCAATTGCCGGCAGCGGTAGAGCTGCAGAAGCAGCAGCAATTGGGACTGATCTTCTTCCTGCAGTGCGGGATTAGGCGCTGCGTAATCTGCTGTTTTGGCTATATGTGCAGCTGTTTAGCCCTGACTACGGCATGTTCTCCCTTGACGAGGAGAGCCAGATGCACTGGTTCTGCCCATACTCGCTGGAGGGGCGATATCGTTTTGAGCTCATAGGGATTCTTTGCGGCCTCGCCATAAACAACGCCGTTCTAATGCCCATGAACTTTCCCCTTGTGCTTTTCAAGAAGCTCTTGGGCTGGCCATCGGCCTCTCTAGAAGACCTCTACGCCCTGCACCCGCAGGTTGCCAGGCAAGCCCGTTAGCACTGACTGCGAGACTGCAGCAATACCCCCCAATTCATACAGGCGCCTCTACTTAGAAATTGTCTTGGCTTTTAAGCGAAAGCGGAAGAGCTACCAGACAAGGAGTCTGGTGGCCGCAGCACGCCGTCTGCGCTGCTCTCGAGTGTCTTCTGTCGCGGGTTGCTGCGGGCTGCGGCGGCTGCAGGAGCCTTGTGTGTGTGCTGCGGGCCTCGCGAGAGGAGCTGGAGTCCATGGGCCTGACTTTCAACGTCGCGTCCGATTTCCTTGGACAAGTTCGGGAGGATGCCTTAGGTTCGCACGATCCCAGCGACAGCGTTACAATAGAAAACCGGTGAGACAGCAGCAACGAGGACAGGCTGTTCACTTCAGTGGCGCTTATGCAACTGACTTCGCCAGCTTACTGGCTTAGGCAACAGCTTAAAAGCGCAGGCATAGCAGCTCACACTGCCAGCGTGGTCTGCAGGTGCTGCGTGGGGTGCATGTGCGAGCAGTGACGAATACGTTCAGCTGTACTTAGAACACGTCCTTGACGTTTCTGTCCGCGAACAGTACAGCGCATTTGAAGATGGCTTCTACCGCTGCGTGGACAAGACCACAATTTCTTTGTTCCGCCCGGAGGAGCTGCAGCTGCTCCTTCTAGGCAAGGAAGAGGAACTGGATGTTTCGTTGCTACAAAAGGTGAAAGACGCACGCAGCTTGTTGTCCATTCACCCGCCGCACTCCGAACGAGTTTGTCGGCACACGGCACAGCCTTTCAGGTTCCGGCAGACAGTTCATTTCGCTCGCTTCCAAAACCAGACGTAGTGAGCCTTAGGGTGTGTCTTGTTACCTGTGGCTGACGAGGGCGCAGGCAGCGACATACCAGGACGGATACACGAAGGACTCGCGGGCGATTTCAATGTTTTGGAACGTCTGCCAGACTTTTACTCAGGAGGAGAAGAAGAAACTTCTTATGTTCATAACAGGTTAGCAGCAGCAGCCTTGGCAGCGTAGTGTTGCGGGAACCGCTGGCAGCTCGCTGCGAAGCTTCACCGCGCCTGGCAACGCTTTAATTGCCTGCTGTCTGCTGCGGCTCTCAGGTTCGGATCGCGTGCCACTGGGGGGTCCGCAGGCGCTGCGCCTCACCATTGGCCGGAGCGGCCCAGACACGGAACGGTAAGTCTGAATGGCCTTTAGATTTTTGGCAGCTCTCCACGATTATTTGAGACCGCCACATTCTTTGCTTGTTTCTGGGGGACCCCCAGGCGCTGCGTTTTGCCAATGCCTGGAGCGGCTTGGACAGACTTTTGGGCAGCTTTCCATTGTTGGGGGCACCTCGTTCTTTGTGAAGTTTTGCTTGCTGAGCTGAAGCCGAAGCAGCAGAAGATGCCGCGGCTTTACCTTGTGGCCCAGCCAACTGTAGCTGGCTTTGAGCGAAGTTGCAAAAAGCGTATTTCATGGTTTCATGCTTGCTTGTTGTGGCTGTTTGCTGCGTGCCGCAGGCTTCCCACTGCTCACACGTGCTTTAATTTTTTGTTGCTGCCCGACTACAGCAGCGAAGAGAAAATGGCTCGGCTGCTTTTGATCGCCATCCAGAACTGCACTGGATTTGGCCTCAGGTGAAGCCGCGGCGGTTTCCTGCCTCCGAGGCACCCAGCGGCCAGCATTCGCAGCTGCATAAGCGGGCCATTAACTGCTGTTCAAGTCCAGGGTGGACAAGCATTGTTTTGAAGGCCGAGGGAGAGCCAGAGTGGCTTGTACGCTTACGGGAGCGTATAAAATGAAAAACATGTGTTGCGTGATTTGCAACTTGATAGTTCCACAAGCAGCGGCAGCTAAGGCGTCTTTCTCCCAGTAGTTGACAGTGACAATGCAGCAGTGGGTGCACCTTGCGACTAGTCATTAAATGCAGCAAGCAGCAGCGTGCCACTTTGCTGCATTCTTAAGTGCTGTGGGGAGCAAGCTGCCAAAGCAATTTATTTCACAGCATGTACCATTTCGATGGCCATTTGATGGCCCTCCTATGGGCCTTGTGCAAAAAGTAAAAAGGCGTTTGAGCTCTATACACGCCAAAGGAGCGTCGCTCGCTTGTTGAGTTGCCTCCGTGGCATGCAGCACAGCGTACGCAACTATTGCTGCTGCAGCCGCTGCAGCGAACGCAACTGCAGCTGCTGCAGCTGCTGCAGCGTACGCAACTGCAGCTGCTGCAGCTGCTGCAGCTGCTGCAACTGTAGATAGAGAGAAAAGCCTACTGGCTGCTGCAATGGTAGGTTCTGCCAACTCCGCCTCTACTTAAAAGACTGACTTCCCGTTTGTTTTTCGTGCTGCTGTTGCTGCTGCTGTTACTGCCTCAAAGAAGTCACATTTATGGAGAGCGGGTCGCAAGCCAGGTTGCTAGCAGAGCCCACCAAGGAGTTGAGCACTCTAGTGCTGCTCCGCAGAACAGCAAATTGCCCGCAAAGGACACCGATCTGCATGCAGCGCGAATGCACTGTAGGAAGGCACATAACAACTTTTAAGAAAAGCCGCCTCACTCCCTTAACTTTGCTGCCTGGGGCTAGCGGCCTTCTCCCCACGCAACAGCGAAGCAGGGAAACAAAAAGCATCTAAGAGAGCTCGCTGACTCGCTAACTGGCTAGCCAGCAGCACACTTCACGCCTCCTGCCCAGGCCGCTTAAGGCGTTTGAGAGGCTCGAGGTCCCAAAGAGAAACACACGTGGCCGCGCCTGATGCAGCAGCAGCAGCAACTGCTGCTGCTGCCGCTGCTTCCCCGGGCCTTGCAACGCGACGCTCCTCCCAGTCTACATAAACCCCGCGCCAGAAACCTTCTGGGCTGGTGTCAATACGACGGATAATGCCGGCAAGCCGCTGCTGCTGCTGCTGCAGGTGCTGCTGCTGCAGGGCGAAATCAAGAACCGCAAGTCCTAGGCCTCTGGGGACAGGGGGGAGGGTCGCAGCAGCAGCAACAGCAGCGGCCTGGCAGCAGCCAAGCTGCATGCGGAAGCGCATGCCAGAACACCACCCCATATCCAGTGCCTGCAGCACTTTGTTGCACTGAAGCAGAAAGCTGCTGCTCCCCTGCAGCACAGGAACACTCAGAATGACCCAGCGCCTGCGCAGCTGAGGGCCAACAGCCCCGGGGGGCAGCGCCTGGCCCCCGCAGCTTCCGTGGCCGTTTACTGCAGCAGCAATTGCGTGCTCGCGGCTGTGGGGGTCCGTCTCTGCTCCCCAGGCTGTCGTGCTGTCTGCTGTTGCGGGTTGCTGCTGCTGCGCATCTGCCGCTGCGGCTCTGCTGCTCCCGGCTGACGGTGCCCTTGCAAGTCTTGATCTGGTGACGCGGCTTTCGCTTGCAGTGGAAGCAGCAGCAGCAAGAGCGTCCAGACCCTCAGCAGCAGCATCCGCTGCAGTTGGGTGCCTCCTGTTGCGCAGCAACAAAGACACAGCGCAGCTCCGCAACTCCATAGTCCACACACCATTAAAAGTTAAAGTCAGAAAACTAGCAAGGGATGCAGCAGCAGCTGTATAGTAGTACTACACTTTGCCCGCTAGGCTGCAGCCATACGGCCGCAGCATCCGCAGCAGCAGCGTGAAGTAGTAAGGAAAGCAAGCAGGAATCGCAGCAGCAGCAAGGGCCACGGCCCAGCTTCGGCAGCAGGAGGCGCCGCTGCGGCGCTGCAGCAGGCCGCGCCCCTCGCTGCTGCTGCAGCAACGAGCAAGGAGGCTCCATCCTGCGCCTCTCAGTACTGCTGTGCAGGGGCAAGAAATGCAGCAAGCTGCATCAGGGCAAGGGCCTAGGTCTCCTCCCGGCATGTAAGCAGCAGCAGCAGCAGCAGCAGCAGCAGGAGACGCAGAAACGAACTAAGGCTCACCGAGTTGCCACTGAGCAGACAACCCTGTAGTGGGGGCACAGAGAAGCGTCAAGCGCAGCAGTTCCGGGCACTTCGCCGCCTTGCTGCACCAGCTGATACTGCTCCTGCAGCAGCTTCTGCAGCTGCAGCTGCTGCTGCAGGTACAACTGAGCTGCTGCTCCGCTTTTTGCTGCCAAAGACAGGGGACTCGCCTGCAGCAAAAAGTCCTGAAAGGCCTTCGAGACCAACCCGTCAGGTGCCTGCAGCTCTACGCAGCTGTTCTTCCAAGAGGCTGGGGTTGAGGCACCAGCGGGCGTGGTTGCTGCTGGAGTTCCTCCTGCTGCAGCTGGTGCTGGTGCAGCTGCTGAAGCTGATGCAGCTGCTGTAGCATCAGGGGACGGGGAGCCGTCAACCTGCATTGCTGTCTGCTCCGCAGCAGCACTTTCCAGTGCCGCTGCTGCAGCAGCAGGCGTGGCAGCGTGCTGCTGCTGTGGCAATGGCTTTGTGAGGCCAAGGACTACAGGGTCCTCTTCAAGAGAGAAAGAAAACAAAGAAGCAACGAGGCCGACCCCGGCTGCATCTGCTGATCCGCTGGGCATCGCATGGATGGCATTGTGCTGCACAACAGGTGTCGTGCCGGCTGTGGCCCCAGAGCCAGCAGCAGCAGCTGCAGCTGCTGCTGCTGCTGTGAGGGGCGGCGGGGCTTCTAGAGGCGGCGGCAGCAAACCCGCAAACCCCGCGAAGAACTCAATCTGATGCACACGGAGCTGCTCCACCCAGCCCAAACAATCGGGAACCTGAAGGCTGCAGCAAGTCCTTCCATAGCTGGACCCTTCCGTTGTTTGCTCCTGCAGCAGACAAAGTAAAACGCACAAACAGCTGCCTCTCCCGCTGCTGGCGTTGTCGCCGCCGCCGCTCCTGCTGCTGCTGCTGCTGCTACTCCTGCTGCTGCTGCTGCAAGTGGGGGACGCACGTACCTGGCGCAAAGAACTAACTACTTCGCAGTGCCCCTTCCTAAAGAAGAAAAGGGAATCCCCCACCCGAGGGATTTGCTGCCGCTGGGCGTCCGATGCCAGCAACTGCTCGAACGCGTCTCTGTACGAAAGCAGCAGCAACAGCAGCAGCAGCAAAAGCGACGGCAAGTACCACGTCATGTATTCTCCCCTTTAGGCACCCACTTGCTGCAGAAGGCCGTTGCCCTCTGGGCAGTACGCACAGCGATTTAAGGAAGCTGCAGCAGCAGCTGCTGCAGCAGCTGCTGCAGCAGCTGCAGCTGCTGCAACGGCGACCACGGACAACTCTGCAGCAGCACGTATTGGCAGCCTCCCAGAGTGCACACAGCGTGTTCATTTGCTGCTAAGCCCGCAGCAGCAGCAGCAGCAAACCAACAACTAAGGAGCCCCACCTGTCTATGGGGGCGTTCAAGTCCGCCAGGCGCTGGCAGTCGAGCCCCGTGGCCTTCCAGACATTGGCGTAGAGGCCCCAGAGATGCGCTAGGTCTAGCCTGCGCCGCACTTCGCGCCATTGCTGTTCTTGGAGGCTGCTGCTGCTGCTGCTGCTGGCCTCTGCTGCTGCTGCCGCTGCTGCCGCCTCCCCAAAGAGCTGGTCGTACGTCCGCTCCAGCAGCTGCAACAGCGCAGATTCGTCCCAGCCAAATCCACAGGACATGCACCGCACGAGAGCAGCAAACCGCGCAGCAGCTGCTGCCTCCTCGGCGTCTTCTGCTGCTCCTGCTGCTCTTCCTGCTGCTGGGACTTGGCCCGCTTCGTCAGCTGCCGCCGCTGCCGCAATGGCAGCTTCTACGCTGGCCTTTGTGAGAGAACAGAGCGACTCCGCAGGAAGGAGTGTCTCTGTGGGCTGCTCTGCACCTTCCCGTGCAGCAGCAGCAGCAGCAGCAGCAGGTTCTGCTCCTGCAGCTGGACCTTCCGAGTCTCCGGGGGCGCTTCGAGACGCTGCAGCGCCATCAAGACTGTCTCGCAATTGCTGCGAAGGCCCTGAGCCTGCGCTGCAGAGGCCCGGCGACTTCGCCGCAGCGCTGCTGCTGCTGCCGCTGCTGCTGCTGCCGCTGCTGCTGCTCGAAGCGTGCAGAGGCTCCTCCAGGTCTTCTTCGAGAAGCCGAGAGTGCTTCCGCACAGGCTCTACTGGGGAACTTGCTGCTCTTGGAGGTTTCGCAGCAGCAGGACGCAAAGCTTCCGGGGGAAGGTCTTGCTGCTGCCCTGGGGTCGGCAGCAGCACAGGCAGCTGCAGCGACAGCCGCTGCAGATCCTCAGACCACTGGTGTCGCCTGTAGGCCCAAGCCTTCGCATGCACAGCACCAGCAGCATCGACGAGAGACTCCACGTATAGCAGCAGCTGCGCCAATACCCCCTGCAATAGCGCAGCAAAGCGAAATGGCAGCAGCAGCAGCACGCGCCGTAATTCCACTGGCCGCCGTGGACAGCAGCAGCAACGGCAGGTTCCCGCCGCTGTGGAAACAGCGCTAGAAGCAGCAGCAGCCCAAGAGCAGCTAATCAGCAATGGCAGCAGCACTACACGCAGTAGCGATGAAGTAAGGGCTATGCCAAGTGTTCTGCAGCAGCAGCGGCAACTGCAGCAGCAGCAGCAACTGCAGCAGCACCACAACCACCGCAGTCGCTGCGGTAGCCGAAGCTTACAACAAACAGCGTCTGTTCCATCCAGTACTGCCGATGCTGCCTCTTCGTTGCTGCTGCTGCAGCTGCTGTTGCTGCTGCTGCTCCGTCTCCTACTGCGTGCTGCTGCTTGTACGAAGAGCCATCAGGGCAGCACGCGGAGCTGCAAGAGGCGGCTCTCGCGAGGACTGTGAGGGCCCCAGCGAGGGCCATGCACGGGGAGAGCTGCTGCTGCTGCTGCTGCTGCCAAAGGATTGGGTAGCAGCGCGGCAGCAGCGACAGGTTGAGTGCATGCAGCTGCTTGCAGGCCAGCCAAACTGCAGCAGCAAGAGGCGAGGGCGGGACCACTGTGGTAGCTCGATGAGGCTGCAGCTGCTCCGCGTCCATCTGTAGCAAGTCGCAGCAGCGGCAGCAGCAACACAAGGGATGTGTGCAGCAGCAAACAGCTCTGGATCTGCTGCTGCACCTGCTGAGGCGGCGCGTCAAGCTGCACTCTTTGCAGCTAAAGCAGCAGCAACAATGAAAGCAGCAAAAAGCTTCACCTCCTCTATGGCCCGGCCCAGCGATTGCCGCAAACTGCGCTCTCTCTTAAGAGCTGGCGAGAGGGCAGCCCGCAGCTGCCGCAGCGCATCTACGGTTGGTGGCACGAAGAAGCACGTGCTTTGCTGCTGCTGCTGCTGCTGCAGCATCTGCAGGAAGGCAGCCAAAGACTCCACCTTTATGGGCCGCCGCCTTATTGGCCATTCTGAGAGGCTGCCCGCGCTGAGAAGAGCTGCAGCATCCGCAGACGAGGGGAAAACTTTCAGCAAGCTCTGCCTGTTGCTGCTGCTGCTGCTCTTGCTGGCGCTGCTGCTGCAGCTGCTGTCGCCATTGTGGCCCATGCTGCTGCTTCCGTCGCTCGCGCTGCTGCTGCTGTCTTCGCCCACGCAGCTTGGCCCCTGCTGCTGCTCCTGGCTAAGCTGAGTGTCTGCCAGCTCGGCCTCCGACGCATGGCCGGAGCTGCTGCGGCTGTTGGCTGGGCCGGCAGCAGCAGCTACTGCGGCGGCGGCGGCTGCTGCTGCTGCTGCTGCTGCCTTCTGCATTAGCAGCAGCAGCGGGGACGGTTCGCAGTGAGCCTCCACATAGACCCGAGATATGCTGCCGCTCGCAGACACACAGGCAAAGTACCTGTTAAGAAATCTGTCTTCACCCAAAGCCTCAGAACGCACCACGAAGCAACTCTGCAGCTTTTCTGCTTCTGCATTCGAGACCCTCCCCATGGGCTTCCGCCGCTGCGCCCGCAGGCCCCCGCCTCCAGCGCCCGCAGCTGCTGCTGCTTCCTCTGTAGCGCAGCAAACGCACATCTCGAGGGGCGCTTCCGCAACAGCAGCAGCAGCAGCAGCAGCAGCAACGGCCACAGAGCCGCTGAACACCTCTATCCTGCAGCCTAGGGGCCGCAACAGCAGCAGCAACTCAAGAAGTAGCAGCAGCTCAAGAAGCAGTAGCAGCTCAGGGTACTGGATCCATGTGTTCCCCAAGGGGCCCCCTGGGGCCCTTCTGATGGGCGGGAGGCCCCAAAAATGAGCGCAGCAGCAGACAGCAGCGCTGCATTAGCAACAAGGGAAAACCTAATGTAGGGTTTAGGGTTTAGGGTTTGTGAACAAGCGCACCGCCCTCCTCTTTCGCCGCAGCAGCAGAAGCAGCAGAATCCTTTGCTGCTGCATTTACAGCACCTGCGCCTTCGGCGTCTTCAGCTGGGTGGCCCTCGTCGGCCTCCTGCAGCACATGCGCAGCCACAGAAGCAGCAGCACCTCATGCTGCTGCAGCAGTTGTTTTCCCAGACACTTCTGAGCAGCAACAAGGGACCCCTCTTCGCTTACCTTCTCTGTCTTGGCTTCGGAAGCAGCAGCAGCGCTTGCGGCCCCCGCAGCAGCAGCAGCAGCAAGGTTCTCCTCCTCTGTGGGGCCCGCAGCAGCCACCTTCAGCCGCAGCAGATTCAGGCGAGCCCTGGCCAGCCCCTCCAGCTTCGTGTCTAAGAAAAACTTCCCTTGCCAGCCGTCAGACACGAGCCGCTGCAGCTGCTGCAGCAGGAAGCAGCGCATGTCGCGGGGCAACAGCCAGAAGCTGCTGCACCTGCAGCAACAAACACACCCAATCCGCAAAAGGCCTGCAAATCCAGCAGCAGCAGCAGCAGCAGCAGCGGCGGAGGAAGGAGCAATGGCGGCGACTGGCGCAGGCCCAAATCTACGTGCTGCAGCAGCAGCTGCAGCACTGCGACTAAAGACCACAGCAGCAGCAAGGCCGCTGCAGCTGCAGGAACAGCCGCCGCAGCAGCAGCAGCAGCAGCATATGTGCTTACCGCAGCGCATGGAGTGCCAGCAGCAAACGGTCCACAGAAGTCCCTTCGACGCCACACAGCTCAGATCGGCTCACGTCCAGCGCCCATTCAACTGCAGGAAGTCCCCCAGCAGCAGCAGCAGCAGCTTCTGCTGCTGCTGCTCTCTCTTCGTCCTCTTCACGATCTCCTTCAGTGCTGCTTGCTTCAGACGCGTCGTCCTCGGCCGCAGCCTCGTGTTGGCTGCTGCTGTTGTTGCTGCTGCTGCTGCACTCTGCAAGCGCTCTGTCTCCCGCTGCTGCTGCTGCCTCCACCTCTTCCGACTTTGTTGCTGCTCCTGCTGCCAAGGGCTCCTCGAGCAGCAGATTGGGAGCCTCTGAGCAGCTGGCCTCTGCCGCGTCACCACTACCAGCCTGAAGCTCTTTGTGCGCTGCTGCTGCAGCTGCTGCATCCGCAGGGGTTTCTGCAGCGCAACTTTGAGGGCCGACAGCTGTGTCTTGGGCTGGCGCAGCTGCTCCTGCTGCAGCAGGACACTCTGCTGCAGCAGGGCCCTCTGCTCCAGCAGGCCCCTCTTCTGCAGCAGGCCACTCTGCTGCAGCAGGCCACTCTGCTGCAGCAGGCCCCTCTGCTGCAGCAGGACCCTCTGATGCAGCAGGACCCTCTGCTGCAGCAGGACCCTCTGCTGCAGCAGGCCCCTCTGCTGCAGCAGACCCCTCTTCTGCAGCAGGGCCCTCTGCTGCAGCAGGGCCCTCTGCTGCACCAGGGCCCTCTGCTGTAGCAGACCCCTCTGCTGCAGCAGACCCCTCTGCTGTAGCAGAACCTTCTGCTGCAGCAGACCCCTCTGCTGCAGCGGACCCCTCTGCTGTAGCAGACCCATCTGCTGTAGCAGACCCTTCTGCTGCAGCAGACCCCTCTGCTGCAGCAGGTCCCTCTGCTGCAGCAGAACCCTCTGCTGCAGCAGGCCCCTCTGCTGCAGCAGACCTTTCTACTACAGCAGACCTTTCTACTACAGCAGGCCTCTCTCCTGCAGCAGGCCCCTCTCCTGCAGCAGGCCCCTCTTCCAAAATAGGCCCCTCTGCTGCAGCAGCAGCTCCAGCCCCTCCGGCTGCTGCAAAGACATCGTCAGCAGCAGGCAAAGCTGTTGCTGTGCTGCCTCTGCCCACCACCCCGTCGATTTCCATTGTGCTGGGGTCTTCTGCTGCTGCTGCTGTGGCTGCAGTGGCAGCTCCGCGCTGCCGCTGGTGTTCCTGCTGCTCCTCCTGCTGCTCCTCCTGCTGCTCCTCCTGCTGCTGTTCATGCTGCTGTTCTGACTGGAACTCGCGCGGCTGCTTTTGCTGCTGCTTTTGCTGCTGCTGCTCCTGATGCTCTTCAAGCTGCCCTTCCTGCCGCTGTTCTTGTCTCTGCTGCTGCTGCTCACGCTGGCTCCCGTTCTCACGCTGCTCAGGCTTCTGCCGTACGGGTTCTTCTTTCTGCTGCTGCTGCTGCTGCTGCTGCTGCTCAGCCTCTCCCGGGGACTGCGACAGCCCAAGTGAGTCCTGCGAAGGCTGCGGCACCTCCTCAGCACTTTGCAGCCCCTCCAAATCTGCTGCTGCAGCAGCTGCTGCTGCTGCTGCTGCCGCTTCACCACTCTCGGCGGGCGCCGGCTCCTGGGACGGCGCAATGTAGGTCCGCCTTGGAGTGTACAGACACTCGAACAGAAGCCTCTTCAGCAGCAGCGGAGCTGTCAGTGCATCCAGCAGCCTG